AGTGGCACAACAGTTGAGGGCTCAGCTGCTGATCACAATGTTGGCCGTTCAAACACATCAGCCGCTCTGCAGAAAACCCTGCTGATGTGTTCCTATAACGATTACAGCCTGGGAAACCCCGTGGGGCAGTTCTGCTTGGGTACCTGGGGTTGCTACAAGTCAGAATCGACTCAGAGGCACCCAGCAACCCTGTGTCCTGACGCTGCCCCTGCCTGCCTCCTTCCCGGAGGGGTGCTGACCCCAGTGCCTTTGCATATGTCCTGGTTAGATCCCTGGGACCCCTCTGCTCACCAGACCGCTATCTCTGCCAGTCACTCACCCCAGTGTCTCATTCACCATTGGCACCACTGGCTGTGGGCTACCATGGTACCCTCCATGGCATCCTGACCAAAGGACTCCTGTCATCAGTATTCAACAGCGGCTGAAGCCTGGCCACTATGGCGTTTGAATGTCAGCCCAGTCCCCCTGGCAGGGACCAGAGACCCCTGGCCTGAAGGCCTGTCCTGACCACACGTTGAGGCCTGAGGACCCACAGACCTGTGATGACATCGGTAGCAGCCTCTCCTCTCAGAGACACCTGAAGTGCTTAGAAGCCTTGCCCAGCCCTTGGACTTCACCGTGGAGGGGAGTGAGCACATCCATCAGATAGCCACCCCCCAACACACACACACACACACACTGAGGAGAGAGGTGCCCAGTGGACGGTGAGGACATCTAGAAGCTTCCAGCCCAGCCGTCCATGCTAACCACTGCCGGGGGCGGCCTGTCCACCCCACAGAGAGAATTGCTCTGTGCCTCTAAACCAGGTATTCAAAGACTCACACTGTGCACCTTTTAAAACCCAAACCAAACCCACTGCCATCGGGTCAGTTCTGACACCCAGCAACCCTCATTGGGTTTCCAAGGCTGCCAGTCTTTATGAAAGCAGCCTGTGGAGTGACCAGTGGGTTTGAACCACTAGCCTTTTGGTTAGCAGCCGAATGCCTTGACCACGACACCACCAGAGCCTTTGGGGCCAGTAATTCTTGGCAGCAGAGATGAGAACGGGCTGTCCTGTGCATCATGGGATGTTGAGTGGTATCCCTGGTCTCCGCCCACCAGGAGCACCCAACTGTGAAAAACCACAGCTGGACCCAGACTTTGCCACACGTCCCCTGGGGGCATGCCTCCCTGCTGAGAAGCACGGATCTAAGTCAGAATGTGTGTTTCCTGGCCGGTCAAGCACAAGAGCGCTTAATATTTCCACAGATTGCCAGGGCAGGGTGGACCATGGCTCTGAGGCCTCTGTCTGGGGGATTTTCCGGACCATCTCTGACCTGAATTTTTATTTCTGGAAAGCTAAGCTAGACACTCTTATTCAGGACTGGAGACACTCCTTAACAAAAAAAGGAACCCGTGATGCTTACAGGAGCTCTGGTAGCATAGTGCCTAAGGCACTTGACTGCTAACCAGAAGGCTGGCAGTTCAAACCCACCAGCCACTCCTCAGAAGGAAGGTTGGGCAATCCTACTTCTGTAGTGATACTGCCTCGGCGACCCAAGGGGTTGCTATGAGTCGGGGCGACAACAACGTGATGTTTACACAGCTGATTAACAATGCTTTACCCCCAATTCCTGCCTGGTCAGCCACGGACCTAAATTATCTGAGAGCGCCCTCTTGTGGCTAAATCAGACATTCCCTTCTGCAGAGTCTTAAAACAATGGCTTCTTTTGTGATATTTCTGTTATAGCAGCCCTAGATCACAAAGACTGAAGTCACGTCTGGACAGACGAAAAGGAAACAGTGTCCAAGCCACAAACATGGCCAGACACCCCTCTGTCCGGGCTGTGGGGTAAATGCCGACTGCTTCTTCATCAGTTATCGCTTTAGACGCACTAGAGACGTCCCTGTTTTAGATAAAATTGACTAAGATACCAGTCGCTATGAGTCGGGGCTGACTCGATGGCAAATAACAACAACAACAACAAGAAGATACCAGTCAGAATTACCCCACTTCCTAACGGCGCTCAGGCTACAGCAAAGCCCCCCTTCCTTGAACCCTCCCTCCGAACCACCTAACACTAGCCATGTCCTGTAATACAGCCCCTCTTGAGTCCCCTTGGTGCAGAAGATTAACTCACTTGGCTGCTAACCAAAAGGTAGTAGATTCAAGTCCCCCCAGGGGTACCTCAGAACAAAGCCTGGCGATCTATTTCCAGAAACACAACCACTAAAACCCTGTGCAGCACAGTTCTGCTCTGACACGCAGTGGCCTGTAAGGCAGACTCGACTCCACAGGAACTGGAAATCCCCTTTGGCTGAGGTGCCCAGGGCTCTCCCTGGTAGGTGTGGTCTCTCACTGCAATAACAGCTCAACTACAGGTGAAGTGTGTGGCTGGAGGGCATTGACACAATAAAATAATAAACAGAGTGTTTGACTTTCAAGTTAGATAAGAAAAACTGGATCAAATGAATAATCAAGAGAATAGAAGGCAAAAACAATGCAAATGAAAGGCATAGTGACTGAAACACACAAGGTAACCTGGTGGAAGGAAACCCAAGCATACTTAGTGGCAATTAATAGACCAGATTCATTTAGGTTCAGAAGAAAGCATTCAATAATCTAGCTGTATGGTGTTTGCAGTGCAGTGAATTACTTAATATGGCCCTTCTAGGAGGCTGGTAGTTCAAACCCACCAGCCACTCCTCAGAAGGAAGACTGGGTAATCTACTTCTGTAGAGATACTGCCTTGGAAAGCCAGGGAGATGTTGCTATGAGTCAGGATTGACTCCAGGGCAGTGAGTGAGTTGTTTTGTTTTGTTTTGTTTTTAGCCAGTCTTAAGGTGCTGGTGAGGCAGTGGTTAAAGCATCCAGCTGCTAACCAAAAGGCCAGCAGTTTGAACCCACCAAGCACTCCTGGAGAGAAGATGAGGCCGTGGGCTTGAGTAAACATTGACAGCCTTGGAAAGCCTGTGGGGCAG